ATTTAGGCGAGTTTAAAATCGAGTTAATGCAGCAGTTTCACCAATATGATCAGGGAGCCCAAGGGGGACTCACAGGGGCATGGACGAGCATTGCAGGCATTACTACTTTGTTTCTCTTCTCTCTCTCTTTCTCTCTCTCTCTCTCTCTCTCTCTCTCTCTCTCTCTCTCTCTCTCTCTCTCTCTCTCTCTCCCTCTTGTGAGTACTTATGTCCAGAAATGCACTCATTTGCGAAGATGGCGCATTTGACGAAATTTATTCAAACCAAGTGAATGTTCGTGGATTTCACGATTTTGGCAAATGGTTGTCAAATTTGTCAGTGTCATTTTGGCCAACAATCTAAGGAGAATTACTCATGATATCGAGGTGTATAAATAATGGTTAAACACCGGAGGGGGGAGGGGCTACTAAAATTCTCGAAGTTATGCTCTCTACCCCCATTACGTTTACATGTTTAGTTGCGCCTACAATACATGTCTGTTAAAAAAGAAAAAGTCCTTTCTTGCTTACACTATTTTTGTACGAGGTCTAAGTATTTACACATTCGTGTAAGCAGACAATCTCTCATGAGCAGACAGGGACACTTTTGAAAGTAAAAAATTGGATTTTCTTTTGTTTATGCTCTCCCATATGCAGACGCAATACGTAATGGTTGACTTTGCACTGAAAATTGTCTTAAAATTCCAAATCAAGAAAAATACCACCTTTGACAGAACACAAGAGTGGGGACTGATTTTATCAAATTTCCTCAAGTCTCAGTAATTAAAAAGCAAAGCGTCCATTTATTTCAATTATCAATACTCCGACATTACATTTGTAGTGCCACGTTATGGCCACATTCGTCATGGTGGACATTCGCACTGTTTCTTTAGTGTCTCCTCATGGGAACAATGTACAACTTTACTAACGGATAATTGCCAAGGGTGTCCCCTAGCAAAAGAGTTGACTGCACAATCAAACATACATGTACCATGTGTATTACCACGCATGCATACCTTCAACTTTCAGATTTATTTTGTGACTCAGAGGGTTCCCACTGTTCACGGAATTCTCTGCCTCGCATGTGTACTCTGTTGATTCATGTTTCTCTTTCTTTACGTCCATGATAATCAACTGCCGTCCAAAGAACAAGTCTGGGATGTCATAGTTATTTTGCCCACTTGTAATTTTCTGGCCATCTCTCTTCCAAGTTATTTTGGGAGCAGGCCTCAGAGTTTTTAAAGATAAAGTATTGAGTATTAGAAATAGTAACTCCAAGGATACTTGTCTTTACCCTTTAACCACTGAGATCTGATTGTTACTTGTAATATTATTCTCCTCTCTAACTGTTACACATTACTTTGTAAATAATTTCTACTTAATAAGTTTGAGTATTTTCATCACCTGTTCGATGGATAATGTTTAGATATTTAAGGGAGAAGTTACATGTTCCATCGCTTCTGGGACTCATAGTCAGAACAGTATGGAAAAACTACACCGTAAAAAGCACAAAAATCATCGGCGATCATGTCAGAATACAAGATAGATCTCTGAGGGAAAAGTGGTTTAGGTTAATCAAATCACACTGTATGGCGCCGCTCAATATCATCAAAAACAGAGAAATCCATCATGATACTTTTTGTTCCGAACAAAAAAAAAACGCGACCGATTTGAAAACTTTAACCTTGAAATAAGTGATTCACAAATCTGTCAGGAAAAAAAAACATTCTGCAAAATTTAATGTACAAGAACATGCCAGTACTAATGAGAGTACAAAAATGACTGGAAATAACTGATATCAAGATCTTAGGAGAGAAAGGGTTTAAATTTCTTTTAGCACACCATCATTCTATAACTAGATCACCTTCCGACAGCCAGGCAGTAAAGAGTCTTGTTTCTTCCCTCAACAGCTATTTCAAAACTTTTCGACAATGAATTTACTTCCCAGGAAGGTGTTTTTTGTGTCCCAGGGTCAACTAAATATCAAACACGAAAGAAATAAATACAATTATAAACAGTAATAACACTAAACCTACTCACATCACATGTTTAGTTAATGATATAAACTATGTATATGAGCACGATCCTTCGCAGTAAAGCACTATTTGAGCAATAGTGAAAATCAGACCTGAAAAAAATTTCAGGCCTGTACGGGATTCGAACCACTGACCTCTGCGATACTAGTGCAGCGCTCTACCAATTGAGCTAACAAGCCAACTGGGAGCAGGCCATCAAATTAATTCGATATAAACCCGTAGATGATAAATCAAACAACAACAAACATATGAAACATATGTGTGAACTGCGGTTATGAGACGTATATGAGCACGATCCTTCGCAGTAAAGCACTATTTGAGCAATAGTGAAAATCAGACCTGAAAAAAATTTCAGGCCTGTACGGGATTCGAACCACTGACCTCTGCGATACTAGTGCAGCGCTCTACCAATTGAGCTAACAAGCCAACTGGGAGCAGGCCATCAAATTAATTCGA